GACAGTATTTTTGTACATGTGCTGTAAATTCAGTGTATTAGCTTGAAGGGCAATACCTAGAATAAATTCTTACCCACCTTTAAAAAAATTAATACCTACTATACATACTTCTTCTTAAAACTTGAAAAATAATTTTGCTCCCACAAAAATCATTGTAGGTTATTATAGAAAGTATATCTTTGAATTGATAATGTTATTTTATGCTCTTTATTCAGAGGCAGTCTCCAGTTATTGCATTGTTACCATGGAAATGCACAAGCTGTTTTATTGTATAGTTTTAGAACTATATTGCTATTCATCTTGAATAACAAGTAGACTAACAGCAGAGAAAACCAAGAGATCACAACAGGGAATTCAAATATGCATAAGGGGGAAAACTATTGCAAATATGGGGAATGAAAAGTGATTTTAAGAATAAAGTCATTTTTATATGCAGTAGCAAGTGGTAGGATATTGTTGGAGTGGGTTAGTGGTGTCAATTAATTGTCCAGAAATAACTGAGAAAATTACACACAGGAGTCAGATGCAGGAATTTTTTTAAAAAACAGTTTTATTGCCGACAAAGTAGAAGTCTCCACTTCGAAGCCTATGAATAAGACATCACAATGTCCTCAATTAAATCTGTAAATCCAGTGTTGGGCAGCAGTAGGTCTTCCTTTCAAAGGAAGAGATAAGTAGGGCCCTGATAATGTGTCTGTACTATCTAGAAAATAAAGATGGAAACAGTAGGATGGGAACTGAGCCATACCGAGCCACAAATTCATTCTTTGGTGTGTAGTGGGGAGGATATAAAAAAAAGAAAATGTTGCTTGCTTACGTACCTGTGGGGCTATAGTAGCTCCTCCCTCTCTAAGGAAACTGAAGTGAATTTAAGCAAATGTAAGGCTACAACTGAAGTGAAGTTGGGTTATTACCACAGTTTGTATTTGACAGTAGGCAATAAGATGACAGTCATCAATCACCAGTCTTGACCTTGAACCTTGGAAATGAGAAGGGTAGGACTGGAGACAAGAAACCTGAACCCAAGGCAAGGTGTGGTGGCTAATGCCTGGAATTTTAGCTACTTGGGAAGCAAAGCTTGATTGGGAAGACCCAGGTTCTGGGCCAACTCAGGAAAAAAGTTCATGAGACCCACCCCCCCCATCTCAATCAACAAAAAGCTTGGTATAATGGCACACACATTTCATACTAACTGTACAGAAAGCACAAATAAGAAGATCATGGCCCAGACTGACCTGGGGAAAGGGGATGGGGTGAGACCCTATTTGAAAAATGAAAATAATGTGCCTGGCAAGCACAAATTCCAGTAACACACACACACACACAGGAAGGAAGGGAGGAAGGGAGGAAGGGAGGGAGGGAGGGAGGGAGGGAGGGAGGGGGAAAAGAAAAAGAAACCTGAACCAAGATAGTAAGAATTCTATGCAGAATTTGACACCTACTGCTAAATCAAAGAGAAAACTCCTTAGAATTTAGCCTATAGTCCCAGCACTAGGCAGAAAGGCTGTGAGTTTGAACCAGCCTGTCAGTCTAGGCTATACAATGAGTTACATAACAAAATGCTGCTTCTGCTCAAAAAATTTTTTAGGATCATCAGATGGCTATTTAAAGGCCCTTTGAAAAGAAGAGAGCAATATTGTCTTTCTGTGTGGCAAATAGAAATCATTTGCATTACTCCAATGCTCTTGTAACCTTAAACCCAGCAATGTAGTCATTCAACATCATTTTAGCATGTACTTAATCAATGTTGTTTACATGTTCCTAGAACAAAAACTAAATTACAAAATAGTACTTAATATGATAATCTGCTTGTATGTATATATAGAGAGTTTTTTTCACTGATCCATGCTATTCTAACTACGAGACAAAGACAGAAAAATACTCTGAATAAAACATAGACCAAAATGCCAGAAGTGGTATTCTTTGAATGGCGGGATCATGATATTCTCTCTTTCTTTTGAACTTTTTTTTGCGTATCTCTACACAGTTCTATCTCACATGTTTCTACCACACGGTGGTAGAAATTTAAGGAAAATTATTTTTAAAAATAAATTAAAAACAAGTGCTGCATAATTACAGTATTTTAAAAATCTCACTGGGAATTTGTTCAACATGTATTTAACACCTTCTATATTTTCCAGGCATTAAGCTCCAGGTTATCTAGAGACGGTAACCTTAACTAAACAACCTCTTAATATATTACGGTGCAACCCATTGAACAATAGCTCTGCAAACCTCGCATACATATTCCTGATTCTATGCGCTCAGTGCCTTTAAAAAGGAGAAAATTCTTCAGTGTTTTTCTCTTGACATATGTTCTGGCAAATTGTTTCCAAATGAAAATAACGTAGGGACTTAACTCCAGACAGCAACTTGGGGATGGAACAAGGTGAATATATATGCACCACATGTGCTATTTCTTTCACATCCATATTGAACTCCTTGGAAGGTGCCTAGTAAGAAGAGTGTGGGCTATGGCTTGCCATCTAAATACAATCTGCAACTCTGCTTATTATCTGTGCAATCATAGGCAAGTTCTTTAACTTCTTTAAGACGAGATTTGTGTGTCCAAAAAAGTAAGAGAAATGATCTCAGACCATTGTAGAAAAGATGCAAGGAGAATATGTAGGTACCAATTCAAAAACAACTTAAAAACCAGAGATGCCTTAAATGTAAACCTCCTGCCTACATGTATCACTTCCATGCTCAGATCATGGTAGTTTGCTAAATTAAAAGGGATCTGAGTGGAGGTCATTACAAACATTCAATATGAATGAAGGGAGCAAAAGAGATGGGTGGTCATATCTTTAAGAAGCTGAATAGAAATCAATTTCAATCAAATCCTACAGTTGAGTCTCTGAGGGCATGTCTTTTCCTTTTCTCCATAGCTCATTTCTTCCTCCCATGTGGTCTTACCAGCATCTTTCTTAGCCCATTCTTGCTTATATGAAAATAGCATATTCTATCATGTTGTTTTTATATTCTATTTACAATAGATCCTTCTATGTCTATTAATCACTTATTACATGTTTGCTGCATATTGAATATTTGTATTCTCCCAAAATTTATATTTGAAAGCATAGTGCTTTGATGGACAGTCTTTTGGAGTGCCCTTTTACAGGGCCTAAGAGAGACTGTTCACTTCTTTCCTCTCTGAAGTAAGACACTGAGTCTGTTGATAACTTGATCGTGGGCCTAAAAAGATAAGCCAATTGTCTCAAAGTTAAACAATAAGTTAGTGGAAGTGCTAAATATTAGAAGGAAGAAGATCTAGCAGGGGGTGAAACCAAACTGTCTGGTATTTAATTCTCAATGGAACTCTGAAAAAAAGTTAAAGAGACATCAAGTAATTTGCTTAAAGTTACACAACTACGGGGTAGAAGTTGGGATTCAAATCTGATTATACCTTCCAATTCCATAGTCTGCTCTTTCAAAATTTTTATGATACTTTGTACCTTTCTCTGCCTTGATCACTTGAATTCTATTGTTCACCTGTCCATGCACTTTCTTTTGAATTCACTATTACTGATTAGCACCAGTCCAAAAGTTATACAAAGTTATAAATCTATCCAAACTATGTTTTCTTTTTCATATAGGGGAGAGCATTTCTAAAGGTAATTTTGGGACAGAAAGGATTTTCGTGGCATTTTACATGTCATTGTATCACAGAAAATATTTAGTATCACAATTTTTAATGGACCCTCCCTTTTACTGGGAGGTATATCAGTATCTCAGCCAACAACAAATAAACAAAAAAGAGAGAGTCAAACAAAGTAATTGTGCAAATATGATGAGGGAACTATTCATACAGGTGTAGGCAGAATGTTGTCTGAGAGAACCACAAGAGATGGTCAAACTAACAGCAGGGAGACATAATAAGCCCTTGGCAGGAAGTAGCAAGGGAGGGAGCAGTTACTGTAAACACATGTGGAACAGAGGATTCAGTTACTGCCACTTTAGCCCAAGTTGGGAGGATGTCCAGAAATAACTATCTTCATGTCATTTTTCTCCTTCTCCCTGATTTTTCTCTACCAAGGTTCCCTTTGCCCTAACCCCAAAAAAGAACCCAGAGGAAAAGGCAATCCATTAGGGAATTTCTTCAAAGAGGTGCCAAGGAGTAGAAATTTGATCTGAGAAGAGACAGAGAAAATATTCTACCTTAGTCTCTGTTGTATGCCACACCAATATACCATTTGATAGGCATTTCCAATGATGATTGGCTGCTAACCTGAATATGGTTAGTAACATTAAAAGGTCTATGGTTCTAAAGTATTCCACAGATACCAAAGTGATTTCTCCTGGCCACAGAGTCCACTACTTTTGCCTTTAAAAGCACAATTTGAAAACAAGAAAATGGGTGTGTATGAAATAATTTCCAAATTCTAGTCTTCAGAACCTTGGAATTTCCTGTTAGTTCTTAAGCCCACCATCATAACCAAATCTCTAGAAGTCCAGGCTCCTGCAGCACCACTCCACAGGCCTAGGTGGTAGCACACTTGCTGCTCTCTGGGTCCTAATACACTTCCCCCACATTCCATAAACTGCTTCAAGAATTTTTCTGGTCATTTAGCCAACATCATCTCAGCAAAATCCTATACCTCCTACCTTCTTACAAAAATGTGCTAATTTAAAATTAGCCCTTGAAAAGTGACATGAAAGTTCTGTAGACAGAACCAGATTCTAACATCCGAGGCCAGCTCACATTTTCTTTCCTCCAAGGCCTGAAGAAGGAAGAAAGTTAGCCAAAATGGAACACGTAATGGAAAGAAATAACCTGAATTGTGGTTGCTGTTTGGCTAAGATGCTGAATGCTAGGTAGGGCCATAAGCCTGTGTCTTCTCAGAAATATGAGGACCGGGGTAGATGATCTTCCAGATACCCTTCAGAAGAGGAAGACAGACTTGTCCAAGAATGAGTTAAAATTTCTTCCATGTATCCTATGGATTCTGATTCAACTATGGAAGAACAAAAGTGGGTCCTTCCCAAGCATTGTTCCTCTCTTAGGAGAATGAAGTTTTGCTCAAAATTTTCTTCAGAGCAACTTTGACATCCTTATTCCTCAGGCTATAAATTAATGGGTTGAGCATGGGCACGACAATGGTGTAAAATAAAGAGGACACTTTCCCTTGGTTCATAGGTAAAAGGGAAGATGGTTTGAGATACATGAATGCCCCTGACCCAAAGAAAAGAGAAACTGCAATGATGTGGGAGCTGCAGGTGCTGAAGGCTTTTGACCTGCCTTCTGTGGAACGAATTTGGAGGATGCTGGAGAGGATGAGGGCGTAAGAAATGAAGATGGTGACTGTGGGGACACCAATGTCAATACCCACAACAATGAAGACGACCAGCTCATTCACATAGGTGCTGGTGCAAGAGCGCTCGAGAAGGGGAAGGATGTCACACATGTAGTGGTTGATGAGGTTGTTGTCACAGAAGGTCAATCTCAGCATGCATGCTGTGTGGGCCATGGCCCCAGCAAAACCCATCACATAGACCCCCAGCAAAAGCAGTAGACACACCGGAGGAGACATGGTGACCGTGTACATCAGGGGATTGCAGATGGCCACATAGCGATCATATGCCATTGCTGACAGGATGAAGGACTCAGAGACGACAAAGAAAAGAAAGAAGAAGAGCTGAGTCATACACCCAGGGTAGGAGATGATGTTCTGCTTTGAGATAAGACTCATTAACATTTTGGGGGTGATGACAGTAGAATAGCAGAAGTCTATAAGAGATAAGTTAAAGAGGAAGAAGTACATGGGTGTGTGAAGGTGAGAGTTCAGCCCTATCAGCGTGATCAAACCCAGATTCCCCACCATGGTGACCACGTAAAAACCAAGAAACAGGAAGAAGAGAGGAATCCGGAGTCCTGGCTGGTCTGTTAAGCCTGCAAGGATGAACTCTGTCACAGAAGAGTTCTCAGCTGCCATTCTCAAGTAAGGCATTCTGTAGGGACAAAGGAAAAGAGCCACTGAGAAGAGGAAGACAAGAAAGGAGAAGGGAGATGACAGAGTCAGCTCCCCAGTTTGTCACGAGTTGGATGTGTACAGAGATTTTGAACTTCAGAGGTTAGGATCCTGGAACTATTCTCATAGCCCCGATGACTTTTCCTCTGCAGGGACCTATGGAGGTCATACCTGCCTCCGTGCAGAGCAGATGCTGCTGGAAGAAGGACCTCAAGAAGCTTCTGAAGAGTCTCCGATCTTTAATTTGATTCCTTAGTTAGCCTTCTGTCTCCATAGTTTTCTCAGACTTATAAAACACATCAGTCTCTGAGAAGAATTCTCTGAGGCTGGGGCTAGTCTAATTGGGCAAGAGAATGTCTACCTTCTGACCATCCTGGACAGAGTACGAGGGTGAACTAGTTTCCCGCCCCGCCCCCCAGTACTTTAGGACCCTACACTGAGACATTCACCCAGAGTCAGTCACTCACCTTCCTTCAGCCCAGAGCTTCAGTGTTGTACCTTTCAGCCAAACAGTTGTTCAGACAGATTAATGACTGTGGTGTTTTTGTGGAAGGATTTGTCACAAACACCTCTACTTCCTCTTCTAATGGGAGGGTTAGACACCCCCCCCACACACACACACATAGAGGCTGTTTCAGAGCTCTCCTGAGCTGGAAAACGATGTGGGGAGTGGTTTACTCTGAAGCTCTTCTCTAGCTTGCAAAGAGACTGAGCAGTTTTATGCCAGGTTTGGAGATCTGGGGACATGGCAGGAAGCCAGGGGTTCTCTGGGGATCATGGCTCCAGACATTAACTGAAAATACTCTTGAAAATATTTGAATGGGCTTTCTGAAACATAAAAATATTAGTTCAAACAATACACAAAGAATTGTGCAAAAATAATTTGCCATATGAGTGCTTAATGTATATTATTCTGTCTTATGCTAATCTTAACATGCCAAGATCCAAAACCATTTTTCAAGCAATTCTTCCTTTTCATTCTTCCTCAGATCTTAAGTACTGGGTTTTATCATCTCTATTTTCGAAATATGTTAAATGACTAAATCCAAGCTGGGTGTCTATAGCTTATGCCTGTAATCCTAACTACTCAGGAGAGTAAGACGTGGAAGATGGAGAGCTAAAGACACCCAGACACTTCCTCTCCAATGAACCAGTAAAATTCTGGACTGGAGGTATGGCTCAAGTGGTAGAATATAGCTGTGAGCAAGCTAATCAAGAAAGAGTGTGAGGACTTGGGTTTAAGCCCTAGTACCAGCACCTGCAAGCACACACACACATTGCTAAGTCCACATGAAATCTAGGCCTATCTAATTATAAATGTAATATAACAATTACCTTTAACAACTCCTATGGAAGGTAATAAAACACATAGAGGCCTTGCCTTCAAGGCTCTGATAATGCCTTGAAAATATTACAATATACGTAAGTATAGGAAAGAATGTGAGACAATCCAGAAAAGGCAAAAATAAAACACTACACCGTTTCAGAGGGGGGTGTGTTCAATACATTTTAGACATCACAGGAATTTTCAAGGGTCCTCCTCAGAGAAAACACCAAGTTTTCTTCTCTTTGAATGTGAGCTTGACATCACAGAACAATTCCTTTACATTAAAATAAAAAATAAAAATAAGCTTAAAAAAGAAAAGTTAAGCCAGGCGCTGGTGGCTCACGCCTGTAATCCTAGCTACTCAGGAGGCTGAGATCTGAGAATCGTGGTTCAAAGCCAGTCGGGGCAAGAAAGTCCTTGAGACTCTTATCTCCAATTAACCGCCAGAAAACCAGAAGTGGCGCTGTGCCTCAAGTGGTAGAGCACTAGCCTTAAGCTAAAGAGCTGAAGGACAGGGCGGGGAAGGTGACTCAGTGGTAGAGCGCTTGCCTTGCATGCATGAGGCCCTGGGTTTGATTCCTCAGTACCACATAAGCAAAAAGAAAAAAGCCAGAAGTGGCACTGTGGCTCAAGTGGTAGAACGCTAGCCTTGAGCTGAAGAGCTGAGGGACAGCGCCCAGGCCCAGAGTTCAAGCCCCACGACCAACAAAAATGAACAGCTTGTTGGGTTGGAAGGAGGTAGTTTGAGTTTTGGGGGGTGTTTGTTTTATAAAATGAATACAGTGTCAGAATTCTCCCTGCTGCTCCCTATCCATCTTTGACCTTACCAGGCTCCCAGAACCTTCATACTGAGCCTGATATTACTGTAAATTCATTTTTCTGGTTTTGTTGCTTTGCTTTTTCCTAACTCCTCTTATGCCATGGCAAATGTTCTTCTTTGTGCCCCAGGCTTTCAGACCATTGTTTATGCTTAGTGGCAATTTATACTCTTGGAACTTCCTAGACTTGAAACAGTATTGAAAATCATCTTCCAGTCCTGGAGATTATATTTTAAGTACATATCCTGTGCCACAATTCAGACATAGGAAATCAGAATCTCCAGAGATAAACTTTATAATCTGAATTTCTCTTCTAAATTTCTTGATATTTAGCCAAGTAGTCATTGATTTAATGCTCCCATCCTATACTATTTTTCAAAAGGAAAACTGAGGACCCACTAGGTACAGCACTGTTTGGTGGTAGAGTCCAAGCAACAAAAACAAAACAAAACAAAAAATGAGTCTCCAACATCTCTAGTTATATTGCTATGGAAGAAAATTTGTTGGCGTTTTGTTGGCTGAAATGCAGAATTCAGGTAAGGGGCCCAGTTGGGCATTAGTCTTGCTATCACACCCTGGGTTCATTCTGAGGAGAAACTTCAATGATACAATAGAAAATGTATGAAGCCGGGCGCCAGTGGCTCACGCCTGTAATCCTAGCTACTCAGGAGGCTGAGATCTGAGGATCGCGGTTCAAAGCCAGCTTGGGCAGGAAAGTCTTTATCTCCACTAGAAAATCAGAAGTGGCACTGTGGCTCAAGCAGTAGAGTGCTTGCCTTAAACTGTAGAGCTGAGGGACAGCGCCCAAGCCCAGAGTTCAAGCCCCACGACCAACAAAAAAAGGAAAGAAAGAAAGAAAAGAAAGAAAGAAAGAAAGAAAATGTGTAAGTGTGAATCCATATTGATCAAGGAAGTGACTTTGACAGGATTAGACTGAGAAACCCAGCTAATATAATGGGCTATTGAGCATCATTGAACTGATAACAAGGGTCCCTCCAGGTGCTGTGTTTAACTATAATTCAGATGTAATAACTCAATGCACCAGCAATAAGAGATACAGATAGATTTTCAGAAAAATATGTAAATATGTATAATACGTAAACAAAAGACTTTTCCAAGCTTTATATTATAAACTCATACTACTAAGTCTTCCTTACAACAGTGGTCCATGTACTATCTTCTGTGAACATCTTTACCTGGCCCTAAGTTCAGGACCCATTTCCCAGTTCCAATTGAACATCTTTTATGCCTCCTGTCATATTAGTTAGCTTGTCTTTGGGGATTCTACTATTGCCACGGCACTAAACTGCATCCAGCTATAGCCAAATAGTACCACTCTGCTAACTGCATCACTTTCCCTCTGCTTTGCTCTAGGACACCTCAGTTACCACAATATGAAATGTATGTGAGAAGCAGCTCAGCCAATCAGATGCACATATAGTACTGAACTGAAAGGCGTTAACACTCCTAGGAGCCAGTGGGAAAATGTTGCCTTCTGCTGTACTTCCAGTGATTTCTACTTCACAGTATCTTTATGGGCCTCAGAGGGATTGACCCTAAATTTCCCCTTAAGGTAAACCATCAATTCATACTTGCATTGGTTTTCTATCCTTCCCTATTTCACACATCCTCTTCACTGGGATTACTTTTAAAATAAGCTACCTTCACACAAACCCTTGTCTCCAGAATGAGTTTTTGTGGAAACCTCAGCTAAAGTATTTCTAAGGTATTCAGGTTTGAACAAAATGTTCCTTAGTCCACCTGAAGAGAACAGGCTCACCCAAAGCCGTGTGATTTCATTCCATTCTAAATTTACTCCATCCCTGCTTTCTACCCCACCATCAATACCCTCTTTTTCAAATCTCCATGTTCTGCCACACCACAAAGAGAAAACTATGGAACCAACTGAAGTTTCCTTTACAGCTTCCAATCTCTCTTTTTTTCTGTACCCATTTTTAGTTTCAGGGAAAAATTCTACGCCCCAAAGATTCACAGGCCTAAATGTTTACTCTACCTTCCACTTTCTGTCAAAACTGGCTCTCACAGATTTATCAACACATGGTTTACTAAAGCTTGCGAGGGACCATCCATATTCTACTCTCTTTCATGAATTTTCTAAAAAGAAAAATAGTGAAGACAAAAATCTTTAGCCAAACTAAAAATGCAAATATCTAACAATGACATTTCAAAGAGCACACAGTTGACAAGACATATATTTTGGTCAGGAGAGGACAGCCAGAGTCATTATGCAGTGGACTTAAAGAGTCACAATGGCAGCTCCTTGTCCTCCACTTGGCAAGCTGATTACAACACTACATCACTTCTGTGTGTGCATGTGCATGTGCATGTCTGGTGTTGGGTGTGTTAAGTGACATTTGCACATAGATCATGTTTGCTATCCCCCACACGTGGAATATATTTCAGTCTCTGCTCAGTAGCAAGAAGTCTTAAGTGTAAATCTCACACTTTGAAATTTGTCACTCCCTTGGTAATTATGATAAATCCCAAACCCTGCTCTCAGTTCATATTGGAGTCAATTCACAATTAAAGAAAATAAATCATTATTACAAACCTGAAATGAGCCCCCACAGGAAAGGGGCTCCTTGGGGCACAGAAAGCAAAGAAGATTCAAGCTTCATTAAAAGTTGACATTTCTCCAGGCGCTGTAGAGGTTTCTTATTAGGATGACAGAACAACCAAGAAAAGTGCTTCTGGGTTTATGTCACTTTAGAGACTGTTGCCATGGGAACTATGTTGTCTCAAAATCCTCTCATCTGGGGCTTCACTAAAGTCATGTTCCCTAAGGAGCAGATGAAGCCCAAGCAGGAAGCAGT